AGGGGTTTTGGATGTCCCCGGGAGAGGTCGAAAATCCTGGGTATAGTCAGTTCTGCGGAACCCAGGAGGAGCAGAAGTCTCTTTTTTTCCACCACTCCTTCATTTGGGCAAGCTGATTTGGGGATCTTCATTGTCAACTTTCCGCGAACGGATGCGTTTTCGTTTCCGTGCAGAAAAACGGAAAGAAGTTCCCTCCTCAGCCAAGTCAGAGTCAGTCTCGTCATCTGACAAAAGAGAGAATGGATTTTTGTCGTTGGTCGATGGCGTGGCCGTCTTAAGCAGTTCCGCAAAAGACTGCCGGGAACGTTCCTTGAGTGAGCGTTGTAATTTCTCCCCGCGTTGTTTGTACACCGGGCATGACGAGAGACCATGAGAAGTTCCCTTACAGTACACGCATTTTGGTGCGGTAGCTGCACAGGTGTCATCCCCATGCTTCTCTCCGCATTTGGAACAGCGTGCCTTGCTGCCACAGTGGGAGACCGTATGTCCCAACTGCTTACAGTTTTGGCAGTTCATGACTCGGGGAACGAACAAGCGCACAGGTAGTCGAAGTTTTCCCAGCTCGATGTAGTGAGAAAGGGCTGAACAAGTAAAGGTCACACGGAACGAGTCTGTGGGGGTAAAACTCTTTTTACCCTCGCTGACAGATATTGAGCCCAGTGTTTGGACATCCAGTATCTTCACCGGGGGAAGCAAAGGTTCTTGAAACGGCCAACCGCCTGCTTCTCCAAGATCTCGGGGGTCAGACTCGCTTCGGTGACCACACCTTCGATCTCCACATCACGAGCTGGGATGTAAACTCTATACTCGAGCGTGAAGAGCTGGGAGGCAGCAATCTCGTTAGCCTGCTTCAGGTTTGAGACGGAGACACAAAGTTTATTGTGATTGTTTATTTATTGTTGCCATACATCAACAGGCTGGCTGTAGCCCAGATGATTTTAATAATACTAATCATAATAATAATAATAGTAAAATTACATGTCAAATAATCACAGAAAGAAAAACAAAGCAACATGGTCAGAATGTAAAAAAAAAACATAAATGGAAATACACTAATTTTCTCTGTCAGTCACTGCGGCCGGCGAAAACAGATGAGAATCTCCGACGAAGCGCATCACGTGTGAGGTGAAAGTCGAATACAGATGCGACTCTATTGAACACACGCTGTAGTCCGCAAATCGCACCATATGCCCCGTAGTTCGTGCGACGCAGTGGCAGTCTCAGCATGAGGTTGTTACGGAGTGGTCGGGGTTGCACGTTTAGGTCAATTTGCCTCAGGATAGCCTCACAATCTATTCGTCCCTGTAGATTGTCGGCGATAATCAAAGCTCTGTTGGTGTCCCTTCTAATCCGGAGAGGTTCAAGGTTTATCAGTTGGCAGCGACTCTCGTAGCTGGGCAGCCGAAGCGGATCTCTCCAGGGCAGTCTACGAAGCGCAAAACGAAGAAAGCGACGTTGAACAGATTCGATTCTCTTGGCACCATTGCTGTAATTCGGATTCCAAACCGCAGAACAATACTCAAGCGTCGATCGTACGAGGGAGCAGTAAAGAGATTTTAAGCAGTAGACATCGGTGAAATTCTTAGCTATCCTGAAGATGAATCCTAAAGTCCTAGACGACTTATTGATGACATAAGAAATGTGTTGCCTGAATGTTAGCTGTGAATCCAACACCACACCCAGGTCTTTCACCTGATTCACGCGTTCGAGTGTCGTTCCAAGCAGGTCATAGCTGAATACAATCGGTTGACATTAAGACATTAAGCTGATGTTGAAGATTGTGGCAGTCAGCGATCGAGTAAATTCGTAAAAATATTTTGAGGTCGTCTGCATATGCTAATCGAGGTCCTTCGATAACCAGGTTCACGTCGTTGAAGTAGAGTAGAAAAATCAACGGTCAGATGGCTTCCCTGTGTCTAACCTTCGTGATTTCAGTCATGGCCGAGTATCGCTTCGTCAAATCATTTGAGATTTGCACAACGTTCAAATGTTTGTTTTTGGGCTGAAAGTAGACAACCCATGGGCCAGTCGAGTCATCTGGATAGGCTCGCCTATCCAGCCTGTCCTTTGCCAGACTGAGACGATGAACCAGGAATGACATCATCTGTCTTCTGAGATGACGTACGTTTTTGACCCTTCTTGCCATCGCGTGGCAAAGAAGTGTCATCTTCCGACAAAACGTCCATTTCGTCTTGCGACAAAATGTCCATTTTGCCGTACTTGTGGGAGCGAAAAACGCTCTACCACTGAAACGATAATCACTCGAACACAATACACGAAAAAAAAACTACAAACACAGAATAGCAAACTTAAATTTAACTGATGGGCGAAAGAAAGAAACAAGAACAAAAACTTATCTGATAATCCTATACTACTACCACCGAGCATTTACACAGCAGCAGCGGAGCGACGCGCAGCGTGGATGATCTTCGATCCACGTGTGCGGGCGCTTTTCGTTGGTGTGTGCTTGTATGAGGGTCGGCACTCAGCTGAACACACGATGATAGATGAACGGCGTAAATGCGGAGGCAGATGCTAACACTCGATGACGATGATCCGTGTGCAGGTATGCGTTTTTTTCCTTTGTTCGGAACCTAACACTACTGCGACCAGTAAATTGATCTATTGTAGTATATCCCGTGTCCTTAGTCTAGTGCATGTCGTATTACTCCATCACTATTGAGAAATGATGAAGTATTCGATTTTTTACAGTTGCCACTCTTGCATTTATCTCAAGGATCCAACTCTAATTGAAAGGTTCTGCTATTTATACCCTTCGGAGTGTTGAAACACCCTCCAAAGGCGCGCCCCTTTGTCAGTCAAAATTGGATTCCTTAGCAACAAAATTAAGGTATGACACCGATAGTGACCATGCATCAGAACCCTAGTCTTAACCACTTCAAACTAGGGAACAACGAATAAAAGATTAGAAATCACATAGATGAAGACAACTAACTCATTTTTTTCCTTGTGTCAAGATCATCCTCGGTAGACAAAGCCGAGTCTTGTCACTATCAAACAAGGCATAAAAAGTAACAAGGACTAAGATGTGTTCCTTGGATTACTAAAAAATCCTGTTCCCCTAGTTTGAAGTAGTCAGAACTAGGAATCGGTGGTAGATCTAACATCCCGTAACGTACCACGAAAAGGTGATCTGCCCACGTTACGGGGCGTTACGGTATGCGTTACCACGCACCGATGGTGCGCAAAATGGTTGACGAATTGGCAAACGCAAAAACAATTTTCCTTCCGATGATGCCGAAAACACACTTTCTTCTCAGAAAAAAAAACTCACTTTTAGTTAATTATTTAGCTAGGAACACTAAGCGAGAAAAAACTGATAATTTAAATCAAGCGAATAGCGAGAAAACTTCCAAAATAGCGGAGCGCGAACTAAGTCGACCGTACTTCTTGCTAGGACGCAGTGGAGTGATATCAAAATATGTGATCAATATGATTTAAAAAAAACATAATTTGATATCATTTTGATATTATTTTGATATCCAACTTTGCTCGGGTAGTCATACCTTTCAAGTAGTGGCTCAATCTTAAGATGTGGTAACCAAATTGCCGAGAACCAGTCATGTCAACATGAATCGACACGCATTTTGCTCGGAACTTTTCCGGGTTTTTCCGTTCCGACTGGCCAATTACAGGTTCAATTGGGTTTCTATTTATTTAAAAAAAATAAGATAGTCATATCTTTCGATTGGTGGCTGACTCATATTTATCGATGGTTCATTGCATTGCTGAGAACCAGCCATGTCAACAATGAATCGACACGCATTTTGCAGCCTTGGGGTTATGTTAGCTAATAAGTTTTTAACAAGAATAATAAAAAAAAATTGAATAGGGTGATTATTTTGTCATTAATGCTTTAAACACTCTTTGGATTTTAAACCCAAAATTAATTAAAATTTATTACCGTTAGTTTTTCCTACAACTTTGTCGCTCACGCCATTTCGATTGAAAGGGACGTTTCCGAGTTTTTATTTATTGAAAAATATCGAATTAGCCATTTTGAAGATTTTTGCGAGATTCAAAATGGCCGAATTGATGCTCAAATGTTAAATCATAACAAGCAATTATTTAAATTTTGAAGAAGAACCAATGTAGAATTGAGCAATTCCAGGCAAAATAGCGAGAAAAAACATGAATTCTCCGATTTGTGTGAAATTATGCGTAATTGTTTGTTATGGGCAATGATTCACATTTCTGCTAAATTTCGTTCATTTTGTGTCTGGTAAAATTTTCAAAATGGCGTCTATTAATATTTTTTGAATTGTAGCACGGAAACGGCATTCCTGATCGAAATGACGTCTGAAACAAAGTTGCAGAGGAAAATTATGTATTTCTGTTCCCAAAAAAATGTTCATAATTTATTTTAAGTAAAAATTTAACAAAAATGTAACCTCAAAATTTCCTTGCGTGGATTAAGAAAAAAAAAAACAAATTACAAAGCTATTAAGAAATGCAAACTTTTGGAATATTCAAAACTATGGACACTTTAAAACTGAAAAAAGTTGAACATGAATTTTTGGAAAATTTTGAAATTTCTGTTGGTGCGCATTAATGCTTATTTTTTTCAAAAGATTTTTTAAAATGCCAATTTCGAGATATTTAGGTTTTAACACAATTGGAAGCTGAACCAACTTAAAATCTCGATAGTAAAGGCATTAAAATATCAACATTTGTTTTAATGTGTACTTCAATCTACTGGAGCAACTTTCTTGTATATTTTTCCCATAAAAATATTATGTTTTTCTACAACTTTGTTTCAGCCGTCATTTTGATCAGAAGTGCCATTTTGAAAATTTTACATGGCCCAAAATGGCCGAACTTTTGATAAATGTGAATCATTGCCCACAACAAACAATTATGCAAAGTTTAATGTAAATCGGAGAAGTCATTTGGCGGCTCCATTACAGGACTGTTATTAAAGTGAAAAAATGTCACCTTTGCCACTTTCACTAATGCGTTATTTCTCTTCTATTCCCCAGTTGATTCAAAATGCCGAACCTATTACAAGACGGAACATATGAAAGAAAAATCCAATCAGGCTACCACGGCGAAGAATTCCAAAAACAAGTTGCAGTCGCCTTTTTTCTACGGATGCGGAGAGACAGTTTCAATGTAAGATTGGCATATGAAGTGTCACAAGCCGACAAGTACGATGACGTAGTGATCATTGACGATGAACGTGAGGTTTTACACTTCATCCAGGTGAAGCACGCCGTTACCAAAGGTGGCAAGGTAAATGTTATCGATTTGAATGCACTGTTTCCGACCGTGGAAAAAGATCAACACAACGGAGACTTCAGTATTTACAAGTACCTGGAATCCTATTTGAAAGTTGTTGAAAACTTTAAGAAAGACCAATACAAAAAGCAGTTCTATATATTTACTAATAAGGATTTAAACATCTCCGATGTTGATTGGGTGAGAACTGTTGTGGTAGAAGTAGATGAAATCCTACGATTTCCTGGATCCAAGGCCCGACACCTGAAACTGGATCCAACCGAAAAAGCTATTAAGGAGTTGAGCAATTTTATCAACAAAGATTTCGAAAACCTTAAAAAGGCAATCAAAGAGCTTTTCAACAATGGAACCGTCAGTAACATTTTAGAAACCTATAGTACTCCTCTGAAAGACGTTTTAACAATAAAAAAGAAGCAATGCAGTTTTTTAGATAGCTTCAACTCGGAAAGCGAACAATTCAATGTTGCCAAGTTGTTTAAAGTTCTGGAAAAAGATAAGTTTGATATGAAGAAGACAATAACAGTGAATAACTTTTTACTAAGAAACTCAAGGGTGAAACATTTGCCACGTTATTTTAGTGAGGAGGAAATTGTGGCATTCTTCAACGACTTTTCTCTATTGGTGAGTCAACCAAATGATTTGTATCCAATTATTGAACGCGAGCTGTGGACGTGGTGTAAATCGTGGATCTGTCCAGAAATTCTCAGAAAATTGAGTGAAATCGATGTGATATTTAGAGATCTGATATTAAAATTTGACCAACTCAATAAACCCAAAAACAATAAAATGAAAGCAATGTTGAAAAAAAGTGATGTACTAAACTGTCTTAGTGAAATTCAAAATGATAACGATAAACTTGAAGGTAAGGAAGCAAAACAATTGCAAAAATATTACATCAATCGCCGTATTATATACAAATATAGTAAACCGACCAATGACGAAAATGTCATTGAAGTTGAGAAAACAGGTATGGAAGAGGCGAAGATGAACCAGCGTCTGGCTGAAAATCTCCTTAATAAAGACAACCAACCAGGTATGGAAGGCAAAATTGAAGAACTTTCACGACAGATGAGTGACACTCAGTTTGTTGAAGAGCTTGGGGAAACATTTAAAGACCATCAGATCATCGTACTTCTGGCAGACCCCGGAATGGGGAAGACTAGCTTGCTTCAGTTTGTAGCCTTTGAAGTGCAGAAGCAAAATGTCGTTAATGTCCTGTTAGTGTATTTAAGCGAGTTGGTGATGGAACTCGAAAAAGTAAAACACATTTCAGAGTTGAAGGTGCTTAATGTGCTCAAAGTGATCCTTTCAGAGCGAAATTGCGATCTCATTGAAAATTCCCCACATGAAAGGGATGACAGAGGCTATTCAATTCTTATAGTGATGGATGGCTTCGACGAGATCCACTCCAAGTACACCGACAAGGTGATTGAGATGCTGGAACAACTCAAGTTGAAAAAGAGCATTCGAATCATCATCAGCGCCAGAAAACATATGCAAGTATTATTAGAGAGTAAATTTAATGTAAGATCTATGTTTCTGGAGCCGTTCATTGTGGAAGACCAAATCAACTATTTCAGAAAGATGTGGCACGAACCAGATCTAGATGAACATTGCTTTGAAAGCTACTCGACACATATTTTAAACACATTTAAATCAAATATCCCTTCAAATTTAGGCGAAATTTGTGGTGCGCCACTCATGGTAAAAATGCTGGCGGAGGTTTATTTAGAAAAATTTAGAAATTACCATTCATCGAAGAATACAAATCAGCTCGTGGTTCTGACTGAAGAAAAAATGAATATTGCACAGCTATACGAACAGTTTATAAGAAGATGTTTTCACAAGAAATTTATGGAAAAATTTAAGCCCAAATTTGCTCTGAGCGACGCAGAATTGGATTGGTTGATGGGTGATTTTATTTTGAAGCATCAGTTGTTAGCTATGGAACTGCTAAATATTGAAGTACGTATGGACTTATTAAAAAATCAATATTATAAAGTAATACACGATCAATTTAAAATACGATGCGAACAGGAATCAGATTCATCACAACTGGTTCATGTAGTCCAGCAGAAGGTTGATTTTTGCCATCGGTCTTACAGTGAATACTTTGTGGCAAAATATCTATGCGACAACATTTTTACGTTGTCAGGAAAAATTGTCAGACGCATTTGGTCTAGATATACTGTTGTTCGAAGATTGTCTATGACCAAGATGGAAGGAAACCAGGCATATCTCAATATCTTAAATAGTTTGTGTAAAAAAAACTGGAAGATTGCACTGTGGGCATGTGAGTGTGACTGTTTGAGTATCATTTCCTCTTTAGAAGGACATTTTAAATCATTCTCAACAAGCAACCTAACGGATATGATACTGGTTGCTAAGGAAAGTGGGTTTGTTGAAATATATAAATTATTATCAAAGGATAAAGCTGACGTGAATGCAGCGGATGAAAAACAATTTAAAATGCCGAACCTATTACAAGACGGAACATATGAAAGAAAAATCCAATCAGGCTACCACGGCGAAGTATATCAAAAACAAGTTGCAGTCACCTTTTTTCTACGGATGCGGAAGGACAGTTTCAAAGTCAGATTGGCATATGAAATGTCAAAAGCCGACAAGTATGATGACGTAGTGATCATTGACGATGGACGTGAGGTGTCACACTTCATCCAGGTGAAGCACGCCGTTACCAAAGATGGCAAGGTAAATGATATCGATTTAAATGCGCTATTTCCGACCGTGGAAAAAGATCAATACAACGGAGACTTCAGTATTTACAAGTACCTGGAATCCTATTTGAAAGTTGTTGAAAACTTTAAGAAAGACCAATACAAAAAGCAGTTCTATATATTTACTAATAAGGATTTAAACATCTCCGATGTTGATTGGGTGAGGACTGTTGAGGTAGAAGTAGATGAAATCTTACGATTTCCTGGATCCAAGGCCCGACACCTGAAACTGGATCCAACCGAAAAAGCTATTGAAGAGTTGAGCAATTTTATCAACAAAGATTTCGAAAACCTTAAAAAGGCAATCAAAGAGCTTTTCAACAATGGAACCGTCAGTAACATTTTAGAAACCTATAGTACTCCTCTGAAAGACGTTTTAACAATAAAAAAGAAGCAATGCAGTTTTTTAGATAGCTTCAACTCGGAAAGCGAACAATTCAATGTTGCCAAGTTGTTTAAAGTTCTGGAAAAAGATAAGCTTGATATGAAGAAGACAATAACAGTGAATAACTTTTTACTAAGAAACTCAAGGGTGAAACATTTGCCACGTTATTTTAGTGAGGAGGAAATTGTGGCATTCTTCAACGACTTTTCTCTATTGGTGAGTCAACCAAATGATTTGTATCCAATTATTGAAAGCGAGCTGTGGACGTGGTGTAAATCGTGGATCTGTCCAGAAATTCTCAGAAAATTGAGAGAAATCGATCTGATATTTAGAGATCTGATATTAAAATTTGACCAACTCAATAAACCTAAAAAGAATAAAATGAAGGCAATGTTGAAGAAAAGTGATGTACTAAACTGTCTTAGTGAAATTCAAAATGATAACGATAAACTTGAAGGTAAGGAAGCAAAACAATTGCAAAAATATTACATCAATCGCCGTATTATATACAAATATAGTAAACCGACCAATGACGAAAATGTCATTGAAGTTGAGAAAACAGGTATGGAAGAGGCCGAGATGAACCAGCGTCTGGCTGAAAATCTCCTTAATAAAGACAACCAACCAGGTATGGAAGACAACATTGAAGAACTTTCACGACAGATGAGTGACACTCAGTTTGTTGAAGAGCTTGGGGAAACATTTGAAGACCATCAGATCATCGTACTCCTGGCAGACCCCGGAATGGGGAAGACTAGCTTGCTTCAGTTTGTAGCATTTGAAGTGCAGAAGCAAAATGTCGTTAATGTCCTGTTAGTGTATTTAAGCGAGTTGGTGATGGAACTCGAAAAAGTAAAACTCATTTCAGAGTTGAAGGTGCTTAATGTGCTCAAAGTGATCCTTTCAGAGCGACATTGCGATCTCATTGAAAATGCCCCACATGAAAGGGATGACAGAGGCTATTCAATTCTTATAGTGATGGATGGCTTCGACGAGATCCACTCCAAGTACACCGACAAGGTGATTGAGATGCTGGAACAACTCAAGTTGAAAAAGAGCATTCGAATCATCATCAGCGCCAGAAAACATATGCAAGTATTATTAGAGAGTAAATTTAATGTAAGATCTATGTTTCTGGAGCCGTTCATTGTGGAAGACCAAATCAACTATTTCAGAAAGATGTGGCACGAACCAGATCTAGATGAACATTGCTTTGAAAGCTACTCGACACATATTTTAAACACATTTAAATCAAATATCCCTTCAAATTTAGGCGAAATTTGTGGTGCGCCACTCATGGTAAAAATGCTGGCCGAGGTTTATTTAGAAAAATTTAGAAATTACCATTCATTGAAGAAACAGAATACAAATCAGCTCATTGATCTGACTAAAGAAAAAATGAATATTGCACAGCTTTACGAACAGTTTATAAGAAGATGTTTTCACAAGAAATTTATGGAAAAATTTAAGCCCAAATTTGATCTGAGCGACGCTGAATTGGATTGGTTGATGGGTGATTTTATTTTGAAGCATCAGTTGTTAGCTATGGAGCTGCTAAACATTGAAGTACGAAGGGAATTGTTTAAAAATCAATATTATAGAGACATACACGATCAATTTAAAAACCGATGCGAACAGGAATCAGATTCATCACAACTGGTTCATGTAGTCCAGCAGAAGGTTGATTTTTGCCATCGGTCTTACAGTGAATACTTTGTGGCAAAATATCTATGCGACAACATTTTTACATTGTCAGGAGAAATTGTCGTACACATTTTGTCCACATATATTGTTGTTCGAAGATTTTCTATGACCAAGATGGAAGGAAACCAGGTATATCTCAAGAGTTTGAATAGTCTGTGTAAAATAAGCTGGGAGATTGCACTGTGGGCATGTGAGTGTGACTGTTTGAGTATCATTTCCTCTTTAGAAGGACATTTTAAATCATTCTCGACAAACAACCTAACGGATATGATACTGGTTGCTGCTAAACGTGGGTTTGTTGAAATCTGTGAATTCTTATTAAAGAATAAAGCTGACGTGAATGCAGCGGATGAAAAAAAAATAACTGCTCTTTATTATGCAGCTCAAAATGGACACGATCAGTTGATCCAACTGTTGATTGACAAAGGATCCACTGTTAACACTTATTCAACTACCGGTAGAACTCCACTTCATGCCGCAGCATGGAATGGTCATAAGAATATTGCAGTGCTCTTGATATCAAACAATGCTGACGTGAATGCAGTGGATGAAAATCAATGGACTCCTTTGAATTTAGCTGCTCATAATGGACACGACCAGTTGATCCAACTGTTGATTGATAAAGGATCCACTATTCACATTTGTTCAACGACCGGTGTAACTCCACTTCATAGCGCAGCACGGAATGGTCATAAGAACGTTGTAGAACTCTTGATATCAAACAATGCTGACGTGAATGCAGTGGATGAAAATCAATGGACTCCTTTGAATTTAGCTGCTCAAAATGGACACGATCAGTTAATCCAACTGTTGATTGATAAAGGATCCACTATTCACATTTGTTCAATTGACGGTGTAACTCCACTTCATAGCGCAGCACGGAATGGTCATAAGAACGTTGCAGAACTCTTGATATCAAACAGTGTTGACGTGAATGCAGTGGATAAAAATCAATGGACTGCTATTCATTATTCAGCTCAAAATGGACACGATCAGTTGATCCAACTGTTGATTGACAAAGGATCCACTGTTAACACCTGTTCAACGACCGGTTTAACTCCACTTCATAGCGCAGCACGGAATGGTCATAAGAACGTTGCAGAACTCTTGATATCAAACAATGCTGACGTGAATGCAGTGGATGAAAAACAATGGACTGCTATTCATTATTCAGCTCGAAATGGACACGATCAGTTGATCCAACTGTTGATTGACAAAGGATCCACTGTTAACACTTGTTCAACTACCGGTAGAACTCCACTTCATACCGCAGCACGGAATGGTCATAAGAACGTTGCAGAACTCTTGATATCAAACAATGCTGACGTAAATGCAGTCGATGAAAAACAATGGACTGCTATTCATTTTGCAGCTCAAAATGGACACGATCAGTTGATCCAACTGTTGATTGACCAAGGATCAACTGTTAACACTTGTTCAACTACCGGTGTAACTCCACTTCATACCGCAGCACGGAATGGTCATAAGAACGTTGCAGAACTCTTGATATCAAACAATTTAGACGTGAATGCAGTGGAAGAAGATCAATGGACTGCTATTCATTTTGCAGCTCAAAATGGACACGATCAGTTGATCCAACTGTTGATTGATAAAGGATCCACTGTTAACACTTGTTCAACTACCGGTGTAACTCCACTTCATACCGCAGTATTCAATGGTCATAAAAACGTTGCAGAAATCTTGATATCAAACAATGCTGACGTGAATGCAGCGGATGAAAAACAAATGAATGCTATTCATTATGCAGCTGACAATGGACACGATCACTTGATCCAACTGTTGATTGACAGAGGATCCACTGTTAACACTTGTTCAACTACCGGTGTAACTCCACTTCATACCGCAGCATTCAATGGTCATAAAAACGTTGCAGAAATCTTGATATCAAACAATGTTGACGTGAATGCAGTGAATGAAAAACAATGGACTGCTATTCATTCTGCAGCTAAAAATGGACACGATCAGTTGATCCAACTGTTGATTGACCAAGGATCCACTGTTAACACTTGTTCAAATACCGGTGTAACTCCACTTCATACCGCAGCATCAAATGGTCATAAGAACGTTGCAGAAATCTTGATATCAAACAATGCTGACGTGAATGCAGTGGATGGAAAACAATGGACTGCTATTCATTATGCAGCTGACAATGGACACGATCACTTGATCCAACTGTTGATTGACAGAGGATCCACTGTTAACACTTGTTCAACTATCGGTAGAACTCCACTTCATACCGCAGCATTCAATGGTCATAAGAACGTTACAGAAATCTTGATATCAAACAATGCTGACGTGAATGCAGTGGAAGAAGATCAATGGACTGCTATTCATTTTGCAGCTCAAAATGGACACGATCAGTTGATCCAACTGTTGATTGATAAAGGATCCACTGTTAACACTTGTTCAACTACCGGTGTAACTCCACTTCATACCGCAGTATTCAATGGTCATAAAAACGTTGCAGAAATCTTGATATCAAACAATGTTGACGTGAATGCAGTGAATGAAAAACAATGGACTGCTATTCATTTTGCAGCTAAAAATGGACACGATCAGTTGATCCAACTGTTGATTGACCAAGGATCCACTGTTAACACTTGTTCAAATACCGGTGTAACTCCACTTCATACCGCAGCATCAAATGGTCATAAGAACGTTGCAGAAATCTTGATATCAAACAATGCTGACGTGAATGCAGCGGATGAAAAACAAAGGAATGCTATTCATTATGCAGCTGACAATGGACACGATCACTTGATCCAACTGTTGATTGACAGAGGATCCACTGTTAACACTTGTTCAACTACCGGTGTAACTCCACTTCATACCGCAGCATTCAATGGTCATAAAAACGTTGCAGAAATCTTGATATCAAACAATGTTGACGTGAATGCAGCGGATGAAAAACAAAGGAATGCTATTCATTTTGCAGCTAAAAATGGACACGATCAGTTGATCCAACTGTTGATTGACCAAGGATCCACTGTTAACACTTGTTCAAATACCGGTGTAACTCCACTTCATACCGCAGCATCAAATGGTCATAAGAACGTTGCAGAAATCTTGATATCAAACAATGCTGACGTGAATGCAGTGGATGGAAAACAATGGACTGCTATTCATTATGCAGCTGACAATGGACACGATCACTTGATCCAACTGTTGATTGACAGAGGATCCACTGTTAACACTTGTTCAACTAGCGGTAGAACTCCACTTCATACCGCAGCATTCAATGGTCATAAGAACGTTACAGAAATCTTGATATCAAACAATGTTGACGTGAATGCAGTGAATGAAAAACAATGGACTGCTATTCATTTTGCAGCTAAAAATGGACACGATCAGTTGATCCAACTGTTGATTGACCAAGGATCCACTGTTAACACTTGTTCAACTACCGGCAGAACTGCACTTCATACCGCAGCATTCAATGGTCATAAGAGCGTTGCAGAACTCTTGATATCAAACAATGCTGACGTGAATGCAGTGGATAACGATCAATGGACTGCTATTCATTATGCAGCTCAAAATGGACACGATCAGTTGATCCAACTGTTGATTGACAAAGGATCCACTGTTAACACTTGTTCAACTACCGGTAGAACTCCACTTCATACCGCAGCATCAAATGGTCATAAGAGCGTTGCAGAACTCTTGATATCAAACAATGCTGACGTGAATGCAGTGGATAACGATCAATGGGCTGCTTTTCATTATGCAGCTCAAAATGGACACGATCAGTTGATCCAACTGTTGATTGACAAAGGATCCACTGTTAACACTTGTTCAACTACCGGCAGAACTGCACTTCATACCGCAGCATCAAATGGTCATAAGAACGTTGCAGAAATCTTGATATCAAACAATGCTGACGTGAATGCAGTGGATAAAAATCGATGGACTGCTATTCATTTTGCAGCTCAAAATGGACACGATCAGTTGATCCAACTGTTGATTGACAGAGGATCCACTGTTAACAGTTGTTCAATTACCGGTTTAACTCCACTTCATAGCGCAGCACGGAATGGTCATAAGAACGTTGCAGAACTCTTGATATCAAACAATGCTGACGTGAATGCAGTGGATAAAAATCGATGGACTGCTATTCATTATGCAGATCAAAATGGACACGACCAGTTGATCCAACTGTTGATTGACAGAGGATCCACTATTAACATTTGATCAACTACCGGTAGAACTCCACTTCATAACGCAGCATTCAATGGTCTAAAGAACGTTGCAGAACTCTTGATATCAAACAATGCTGACGTGAATGCAGTGGATGAAAAACAATGGACTGCTATTCATTATGCAGCTGAAAATGGACACGATCAGTTGATCCGACTGTTGATCCATAAAGTAGCCACTGTTAACATTTGTTCAATTACTGGTTTAAGTCCACTTCATATCGCAGCGCGGAATGGTCATAAGAACATTGCAGAACTCTTGATATCAAACAATGCTGATGTGAATGCAGTGGATGAAAAACAAAGGACTGCTCTTTCCTATGCAGCTCAAAATGGACACGATCACTTGATCCAACTGTTGATTGTCAATGATGACATGGTTAACATTTGATCAATTACCGGTAGAACTCCGCTTCATAGCGCAGAATGGCATGGTCATAAAAATGTTTCATATGTAGCTCTTGATAGGTAATAATGCTGACGATGTGAACGTGGTCGATGAAGACTTCAGTTGGTAGCTTGAAATGGACATGCTCGGGTTATCGAACTATTTATTAACAAGGGACCAAACACCAGCTCTCGGGATTTTGAAGGTAGAACCAGGGCTCTACATTTTCGAAGCTCTAAATTGGACCCTCTACGATTCCTTTTATTGACAATAATCGTATTGTCAATACCTTCTATATTGACGTCAATACATCGATATTGGCAACATTTCTATATTCACATCATCATTATGGTAAGCGCTCATTACACATATCAATAAATTGACATACTGACAATATTATTGAAACCATGATATTGAAGACGATGATTGATGACGAGTATTGACGAAAAGCTGATTTTAATTTCACTTTGTCAATACTCAGAATTTATTGACAAAAAACCGTCAATTTTGCCATCAATATCATCGATATACGAATATTGACAATATTAATGGCAATACGGTAGAAGTATGTTTGCCTCAATGTATTAAAGTCAATATTACTTGTATCAATTTCCCCACACAAGAAACATGGATCAGCGAAAGAAAGTGTGTTTAGAGTTCATGTTTGCATTCGGCTCCAAACAGAAACGACTGCTGGACCTGTTTGTATTGAAAAACCTAGCTACACACTGAATTCGGATTACCGAAGTTGATAAATTTAGCCGGGTTTTTGAACAGCTGAAAAAATTGGAAAAATTTCAAATGACCGTTACTCGAAGGAAATCAATACAATCGACCATTTTTTTTGTATTATTAAATGGGGTTAACAAGGTCCGTACATTTTCCGAATAAATTCCAAAAATTTTAAATTTTTCATTGAGTTGTAAACTTTGACCGAACAGTACCGTAGTTCAAAACTTACCAAACAGCGGAGTCCTGGTTTAGTGGATATATATATAAAACCAATTTTCACACAACATTTACTTATATTTGCACATTTTGAATTAATTTTCAGGATTTTTAGAATAAATCGTGTTAAATAATGATCTATTCCAGGCCTACTCTTAAGTTCTTAGAATGATGTAAGAACAAGGTGATTACTGAACTCTCCTGTTTCGTTTGAACAATAATGTTTACCTAATGTTACCCATACATATAATGCTTAGTTTTATCAAAATGAAAATCCTCTTATGCTTTCTGGCAAGTTACCATTAATGATTAATCATTAAGTCGACTAATGACCAGAAGACGTGCAAGAAAGATAATGTAGGTATATAAACTGTATTAATAGGCACACATATAGTACACTAAAGTTTTTTTTTACACGGTTTTTCGCGATTTACACGGTACGTTTTTAACGATTTCCCGAAAACGATACAACCTATCGACTTGATTCCAATCACATTATCCGTTTCAAGCTATAGGTAATCAAATGGCATATCGAAAAAAAAATCACAATTTTTGGTGTAAATACAGAAATTTTTAAAATATGTCTATATGGACCATAGCATGCTATAATAACAAATGGCATCAAAATCCGATTTTTTTAAGCATTTAAACATGTGAAAAATCAAAATCTCGTAGGTTTTTTTTACACGGTACGTATCCCCCGTGTTAAAAAAGACCTGAGTGTATACTAATTAACATAGGATGTACAGTGAACGTGGGTTATTTTGCGTGAGCTGTAATTCCACGGGCTTGTCATTCAAATACCAAATTGCTATACCAAATGTTGTAACTTTTTGACAGGACACAGAAAATACACAGAACAACAGATAACATGACATGTACTTCCAAATTGATCGAATTTAATCAAATCGATTGTCGAGTGCGCGGAATTACTATACGTGTGGAATAACCCACGTTCACGGTACACAGTTTCCCAAATAGAAACTATCATGCTGATGTTTTGGTAAACATTCATAAATGAAATCATGCATATAGTAATTAATTTACGTTACCTATGAAGCGCTGATAGTATTTATTTTATTTTAAAGTAAAAAAATAATATGATTATGCTTGTGATTTTGTAGAAAATGCATATCCATATTAACGAAGCCGGGTGATTGGTGACTGTTAAAAGATACATTTTTTATTTAGTTTAAAATTGATTTTATATCACACACGAAGATTTAAATAAATGGCAACACTGCATGCATCGCGAAGCTGCTTTGTGAGTCAGAATATTGACAAAGTGAAATGAAAATCAGTTTTTCAACAATACTCGTCATCAATCCATCGTGATCAGTATTACACAGTGTTTGGAAATCTGTCAACATGCCATTGAACTACCGTGTGTCAGGTTCGTAACTGTTCATGAATAGATATTCACAAATGAGTGAAGTGTCAGACACCTTTGCCGAATAAGAGTATTCAGTTGTGTAGCACCAAAAGAATGAACGAAACGAAGAACGATGGTTGAATACAAAAAAAAACCGATCACAACAGTTCTCCGAATGACGCGTTCAATGATTGTATACAACTTTGAACTACTCATATCTTCTCTTTGTATCTACCGCACAGATAAATACAAAGCAGTGGATAATACATAAGGAACGCAAACGTCGCACCAACTCTGGCAGTAGCAAAGCGCAGCTAGGTACATAAGAAACATTCCTTCGTCCTGTGGTACCTTACTAGCGAATAAGGGAAGAAATAGGGGTAAGAGGGGCATAGTGAACAGGTGGTGCATAGTGAGCATCCAGTACACCAGCTTGGACTTCCGGCCGTTCGGAACAAATTGGTTGGTGGTAGGATCAATATCATAATGATATTGAACCTACTACCTGTTGATTTGTTTCATGCAGCTGGAGATCCAGAGGCAAACTGCGGGATGCTCACTATGCCCCACCTGTTCACTATGCCCCACCTGTTCACTATGCCCCTCCTCCCCCTAATCGAAGAAATGGAACGCAGGTTAGTTTGTTAATTATATTTATTATGAACAAAAAAAAATGAAATGAATGGAACTAAGTTTATATACAGATAAACTCTGAATTAAAAGTTATATGTATGTTAACCAAGCATCCCGAGCAAAGTCCAGCATCAAAATGACAGCACAATCAAATCGAGTTTTGAAATCATCTTCAAACTAAAATGATAATTTGATTTCAGTATACGCAATTGACAAATTTGATACCAAATTTTGTTTTCATTTTGCTGTACATTTGCTCTTCAAAATATGTTGTTGCATGTTTGTTTTCAATGCCTTAGCATAACATCAAATTGAATTCTTGATTTGTTATCAACAAGAAAAAGAACATCATATTTAGTTCTCAGTTTGCTCTCACTGATAGCAGAAATTGTATTCAATGTGATGTCACAGGAAGATTTTTTTGCTCTCACTTTTGATAACCTTGTCTGTGTTTTAACCGTCAAAAAGACCAAAACGACAGCAACCTGAGTAAACATTATCAGCGAAATCACAACATCAAATTTAGTTCTCAATTTAATCTCAGACTTTGCTCGGGATTGGTCTCATTTAAAACAACGATGAATGAATTAATCATTCCCACAGGGCCTTGAAGGAGCTAGAGTTGCGATCGGGAGTGCTGATAGGTATTTACTGTCAGGCAATATTTTATTGATTATCGAATTGCCCATATGATGAATTCTAGGCAAGCGGCTGGTGATTGGAAGGTACATGGGTCAAATCCCATGCAACGACATGTATAAGTATTTACTAAATTTTCTAATATCTGTGTGGTGCGAGCCACGTCAGAAATAATGAAAACAATCACCTAAGAAACACACCCTTCCATGTCCCCGCCCTAATAAACAAATACCATAAACGAACTGTATCCCGGATGGGTTAACTATCCCAAAAATGGTTTGGATGATACTCCGAACACGTCGTTAAGCTTATGGTTATTTTTATTAGGGTGTCCCTCTTATTTTCGGGCTAATTTTCCCACAGTGAATTATCGTTTAATAAATGTATAATAATGTCTAATTAAACGTTACTTCACACGAGAATCAAGCGTATACAGAGAATCACTGTTTTAAGGAAAGCAGTGATGTCTAATAAACGCTGAATAATCAAAAATGTTATCGAATAAGCTCTGTTACAACTCATATAAGTCGAATAAAAGCTTCTCGATATACCTTATACAACACCAAGTAGTTCAATGTTGAGGTTGAATAAATTCTCCAGATTTGTGTGAACAAAGCCTGAACAAAAGTTATTATTAAAAATAGTATAAGTACTATTAAGCATGCAGTTGAATAAGATGGCCAAGAAGTCGTTTCTTCAATAGACGATTGTTTTTTGGGTAGTGTTTTGCGAACACACTTTTTGATGTGTTTTTAGAATTAATTTCACATTGTGGCCAGAATATGGACCCTGGGAATCACAGACTGGTCCTCCGAAAGATCCGGAACATCCGTAAAAGAGGTAAATCAATTAAACTGGCCTATAGCTAAATGATTTTTTGTGCATTCATTTGTGGCCAAAATATGCAGCACATTGATCTTCTTTGAGATCCCGAACATCCGTAAAAGTGGTCAATTCATGAAACTGGTCCTAGAGCTCCTTGTTTTTTTTTGCGCAAGCACTTGTTGATGTTTTTATGACATTAAGGCCAAATTATACACCCTGGAGGCCACAAACAGGTTGTCCAGATGATCCGGATTATGCATAAAAGTTGTCAATCACGCTTACGACAACGTATGAAAAATCCGTGAAAGTTTTCATATATTTTTTGGACAACTCTGCAGTGACCTTGGCCATCTGTACAACTTTGCAGTGAACAGTTATTTCCCAGAATGCCAAAGTTTTGAAATATGATACATGCACAAGCTCTTACACACACTAGCGCCGTGTAGTGAGTAGGTTCCACACTTATTGTCCATCATTTTATATGACTTGGTTAGCTTACCAACTATGTAGAAGACTGTATTTTCCTAGTAAGTCAGGGTCTTGTGATAAAGCACATAGTAAATATCACATATGCAATAGCACCGCGTAACGGGAGCATTCGCAACTAACCTGTTCTTCATGTGAAAGACCGTGTCCACCGAAAAAAAAAACATTGTTGAGGACTGTAT